GCTATGAAATATCTATTATTCCTTTTGACATTATGCACTTAATACATTGTCAAAATCCGCCTAAAACTTTTTCCAAGTCTCATTTAATTCTTTTGTCCAGGGTGCACCGGTTAAAGTAAGAAGACCGAGTGATTATAACCCTTCACTGGCTGCAACTCTTGGCCCCAGTATGCCCAATCCCAATCTGAATCTTGCAGCTGTTGGGCTCACACCAGGATCTTCTGGTGGGCTTGAAGGCCCAGACCGCATATTTGTTGGAGGTTTACCGTATTATTTCACTGAAGCACAGGTCAGGGAGCTACTAGAGTCCTTTGGGCCGTTAAGGGGCTTTGATCTGGTCAAAGATAGAGAAACAGGGAACTCCAAGGGCTATGCATTTTGCGTTTACCAGGATTTATCTGTAACGGACATTGCTTGTGCAGCTCTCAATGGTATAAAGATGGGAGATAAAACGCTTACTGTCAGGCGAGCCAACCAAGGTGTGCAACCTAACCCTGAGCAAGAGAGTGTGCTACTGCACGCCCAGCAACAAGTGGCATTGCAGGTAATGGAGATTTGGTTGTATTATATGCTGTCATTTATGTTAGGCTGTGATTGAAACTGAAAATGATTTTTTTTTTTTTTTTTCTCAAATCACAATCACAATCACAATCACAAATCTATCTCACTTTTTCTAAGAACTTATTTTTCTTACTTTCAGATGTGAACAACCGCAACCTTTGATTTTGTATTTTTAGGTTAAACATGTGATTGCTTTGTAATTTCTCGTCATTATGTTCCCAAGGGACTTCTGAAGCCGTCTACTAACATTTCTTGTTTGTTCTATTTTGCAGAGGCTCATGTTGGCACCTGGTATCACACCTGCTACGAAGATTGTGTGCTTGACTCAAGTGGTGAATGTAGATGAGCTCAAGGATGATGAAGATTATGAGGATATAGTGGAGGACATGAGAACTGAATGTGCAAAATTTGGTGAGTTTTAATACAGTATATTCTCCATTTTTGTTTTCTTTCATAGCATTTGAACTTGAAGTTGCACTTACATGGTTGCTATACATGGATTATTAACATAATCGGCATTCCTTTTTTTTTTTTTTCTCTCTCTCATACATACTCGTGCATTTAAACATTTTTTATTAACTTCTGCAAGGTTCTTTGGTGAATGTGATCATTCCTCGCCCTCTTGCCAGTGGTGAAATGCCCCCCGGTGTAGGAAAGGTTTGTTATAGATATATGTCTATATAATGTAATGTATAATGTGGTTCAACTAAGGTACTGTACGAACTATGAGAACGCCTTTTTCAACTATAATGTCATTTTTAATTGTGTTGGGTGTTATTTTTAATTAGGATTTATTTCTAAAGACAACACTTAAATTTAATAGCACCTAGACCCATATAATATTAAAAAATAACACCACAATTAGAAACAGCGTCATGCACAACAGTTCTAACACTAGGACTTGTTATTATAGTGGCCCGAATATAACTTTTTAGTTGTTGTAGGTTTTCTTGGAGTATTCAGACATTGAGAGTTCTACAAAAGCACGACTGGGGCTGAATGGAAGGAAATTTGGAGGGAATCAAGTTGTGGCAGTTTTCTATCCTGAGAATAAGTTTTCTGAAGGAGATTACAGTGGCTAGTGTTCCCCAGTTCTGGTCGGTCGACACACAATTCTCTTTTGCTTTTCTTTTTCGATTATACTTTCAGTTTGTTCTTTAAATTTTGTCTATTCGACTTAAATGTATGTTAAAGGAGTTGCTCACTTGGATAGATTTGAAAAACTAATCTTGGTAATTTTACTAATACGAACACTCAGCATTTTGGATTATGTTTCCCTACTCTACCAAGCTAGTCCCAATTCTGTTCTGAGGGAGATTACAATGAGTTGTCCGAATGTGAAAATGGAGTTTTAGTTTCAAGATCGAACACTTTCCTTCATTAATAAATGTTACTGTGGAAAATTCATACGCTAAGTGAATGTGCGCGCATTAGACTGTTGGTGATCACATATTGTGAACTTGCAAGATTTGGTTATAATGCGCTTGTATAAGTAGACAAACAATGTTGTCAACTTGTAGAAAACCAATATGGCAATATTGTTTAGTATCTGTCCAGTGATCTGATTATGTAAAATAATCCCGACGCGGAAGTGTCCGAATGTCATGGGTGACCAAAGCCAAGAAAGAAAGAAAGAAAGAAAGATGCATGCAGGAAACTTGCAACATGGTAAAGCTTGTGCAGTTTACCAATGTTGTCTGGTATAGTTCCATTTAGGTTATTGCCCCTAAAAACACTGCAGCAAAATCAGAGAATATAATCTTGGCATACAAATAATTAACTACTTATGTGATTAAGACAAAACCAAAATTAACACTTACAAGGACCAAAGGCCAATGTCCAGGGTAGAGCTGTTAAATTAAACGAGTCGAGCAGCTTGTGAGCTCGGTTCGACTCGTTAAGGTTCGAACCCGGCCTGGTTCATTTGATAAAGGAGCCAAGTTCAAGCTCATTTTAAGCTCGTTAAAGCTCAGAAAGATGATTTTTATGTATTTTTTTATAGTTCGGCCCAAGTGGTCGAGCCTACATTATAATTTGTGGTTGTGGGGGCCTGCGCGCGGCCCCTGCCCAATTCTCAGTTTAGCTTTGTCCCAAAACCTAGGCCCAACTCAGTTTATGGTTGTAAATTTTGAAATGAATTTATTGAATTATTTTAATCACTTGGAATTTCTCCTATGGTGAAAAATAAATATATTTCGTTTTAAAATTTTATTATCATTTTAATATATATATATATATATATATATCACAAAATAAATTTAGAGAAAAATAGGTGTGTTTTTAATATACAATATTATTTTTCTATTCTCTATAATATATTTAGCTTTAAAGAAGCAAATTAATGAGTCGAATGTAGCCTCCTTCTTTGTACCAAGAAAAAGAATATGTACATTGATATTCATGTTATAAATTTTGGATATATAATACTATTTTTTATTTGAATTCGAATTTAACGAATACCAAAGTTCAAATCAAGAATCACACCCAAAAAAGCATTAGACAAAGATGATGTAAAAATAATCAGACGTATCC